GTTTTTTTATCGAACTTTTATCGACCCTCTTTTTTTCTATTGCGCCACACGTCTATCGATCGATATATATCGTTATTGAATTATCGCCCAGCCCTACAAAGCAGTGTGTGTATGACGTCATCTGTGCAACCCGGCTACCGTTCATTCATCCTGTCCGCTGAACTGCTGCTAGTTTTACTCACATGCCTGGAAGATGTCTAGTGCTGCTACCACAGATGATCTTAAAAAATTATCTTAGAACTGAGAAATTTAATTAGAAAATCATTTTAAATCTATTCAGCCTCTGACACATTCAGCTGGGGTCTGTCTCTCCCAGACAGAGGTTTACAGGAAGCTCTGCTGAGGCTAGGGTGTCTCATTACTCCTTCATTTGCCAGACAGTCATTGTGGTGTTGGATGCAAATGCCTTACTTTCTTTAATATTTTTTGTGGGGAAACAATTTTAGGCCAGAGTGAACTTCATGTCTTCCGGTTGCTTGGCAGGATCCACTCGCTCCTCAAACTCAAGGACGGAGTTTGGTGCTTTTATGTGAGGTGTCATTTATTTAACCTACAATAGAAACTCTTTCTGCTGTTTCTCTTTCAGACCACCTGCAGGATTATGTTGGAAAAGAGGAGGAGTTCTCTGACCAGCAGCTCTATGAACAGGAGAGGAATTCCAGTTTGGACCAAGAGGAACCAGAACCTCTGCAGATAAAAGAAGAGCAGAAAGAACCAGAACATCCCTGGACTAAAGAGGAAACCATGGAGCTCCCCATTAGTGAGCAGGAAGAGCAGCTAAAGCCAGAAGATCCCTGGACTAAAGAGGAAACCATGGAGCTCCCCATTAGTGAGCAGGAAGAGCAGCTTGTTCTGAAGCAGGAGATTGAAGATACAGGAGAGAAACTTTTAACATGTTTGACATGTGGAAAAAACTTTCTTAAAAAAGAACATTTAATGGTTCACGTGAGAACTCATAAAAGTGAGAAGATTTATGAATGTCTGTCCTGTAGAAAAAAATTCACAAAGAAATCTAGACTTGATAGGCACATGATAATTCACATAGGTGAGAAACCTTTTTCCTGTATGATTTGTAGTAAGAATTTTACTCAAAATAGTCATTTGACTTCTCACATGAGAATTCATACTGGTGAGAAGCCTTTTTCCTGTACCATTTGTTACAAGAATTTTACTAAAAAGAGTAATTTGACTTGTCACATGAGGATTCATACAGGTGAGAAACCTTTTTTCTGTACTATGTGTAACAAGAATTTTACTAAAAAGAGTAATTTGAATTCTCACATGAGAACTCACACAGGTCAGAAGCTTTATAAATGTCTGTCCTGTGGAAAAATGTTCACAGCGAAATCTAGTCTTGATACACACATCAGAATTCACACAGGTGAGAAGCCTTTTTCTTGTACAATTTGTAACAAGAATTTTACCGCAAAAACTAGTTTGAATTTTCACATGAGAATTCACTTAGATGAGAAGCCTTTTCAATGTGTGTCCTGTGGAAAAAGCTTCACTAAGAAATCTATTCTCGATAAACACATGAGAATTCACACAGGTGAGAAACCTTTTGAATGTCTGTCCTGTGGAAAAAGCTTCACTAAGAAATCTAATTTTGATACACACATCAGAATTCACAAAGGTGAGAAGCCTTTTTCTTGTACCAGTTGTAACAAGAATTTTACTCATAAAAGTAATTTGACTAGACACATGAGAATTCACACAGGTTAAAAGCTGATTTCACCAGATCATACAGTCATACGCCGTACACACATTTGCTCCTCCCACCACAAAGGAGGACCAGGCACCTGGACCTGGTACTTGACCCCTAAAGTTGAAATGGGAAGGGGAGAGACTCCAACACAACCCAATCTTCCCGGTCCTTGCAACGGTCTCAGCCCCCCATCCCCCACCCAGACGAGAAGGCCCATGGCACAGGCCCCCAGAAGACAGTGCCAGCAGAACCAGCCTCAGTGTGAGCGGCCATAATCCGAGGCCAACTGGGTTTCAAGCAGTATACAGCAGTAAACTATTTTCCACACTAGTTAGCATTCCCGTAGGCCTCTGGAGCATGGTTGTCTCTCCATTTTCCTAGCAGTGTGCAGCTCTGCATTAAACTAAGGAGCCAGCTTTCTATTTTAAAGTTTTTCTTTTTCAAAGGAGCTGCTTTGTCTAAGGCAGTACACAGAGAACTAGCAACCCTATCAACAAAATAAACCTGTGAAGGGGAATAAGCTAAGCTTTTGCACTCTGCAGCACTGCTCAGCAAAACAGAAGAGAGAGAAAGTAAAACAGATCCTCTAAAATTTATAACTGCACTATCTGATAATGATCTGCTAAAGTGAAAACTTTTGAGGGAGGAGAACTCTGTTAGAGTAATCTTTAAGGTTATTAAAAAATGTTGAGAAGGCAGGGCTGTGAGAAAATATTATTTCTTCACATTCTATGCCATATGTCAGAACTGTCATGAATTTCTTAAGAGATCTAACCCACATGCAGTAAACCACTCAAAGAACCAGGGTAAAAGTTTGAACAGGTTTATTGATAAGGACAGCGGGAGTTGGATTCAGGAAACTCAGTGTGCTGGAGAACCAGAACTGGAAGAGGGAAGGGAAGTATCAGTGGTTAGTTCAGGATCCGATGGCTGGAGAGACAGAGAAAACAGGACTCACGTTGGTTAAGAATACCTCTTCTCCCAGAATCCAGTTAGTGTGGGTTGATCTAGTGAAGAGGGGACTCGGAGAGTGGACAGATAGACTTTTGTTGGACCCAGAGGAACTACTGAGTGGACTGCTCAGCGCGAGACTCAAACAATCCTTCTAGGGGAAGAAGGCCGAGCATCCAGCTTGCAGTAAGGCTTCCTGCTGAAAGGGCAAAGACAAAAAAACAAGGTTAAGCCCAGTGAAAACAAAGACTCAGTTAGACTCAGCTAAACTCAGCTTGGTTAGAGTACCCAAAACTGGCAAACACTCTGACCTTGAGGTAGTGACAGCCCACTGCTTAAATACTCCTCCAGATAATGATCCAACAAGCCGCAGGTGTGCAGGGAGGCCGAACAAGGACGGGGCACCACCTGATGGTGGAGAAAAAGAAACACAAAAACAGACCACACAAACTGGATTCCTGACAAGAACAAGGCCCAAAGTATGAAGATGAGAATGTGTGGGACTATTCACATTTTGAACAAAGCCAATAGCATCTAAGATAGCATTATAAGCTGCTCTTAAGCTATCACCTGTAAGTCAGCATGGATGTTAAAATCCCCCACTATGATGCCCCTGTCACTATTTAACACCAAATTAGAGAGGAACTCTGAAAACTTATCTAAAAATTCAGAGTAAGGATTTGGTGGACGATACAAAGGTACAAAAAGAAGAGGTTTTCTTGCTTTGCAATTTGGATGAAGGAAAATAAGGGTTAAATATGCAAAAGAGTTGTAATTTTTAACTGCTTTTGGAGTAATCTGTAAGTCAGACTAAAAGATTGTTGCTACTCCTCTTCGCCCAGACCCTCTGGTGAACATTTAAATAACTAGAAGGAGTTGCCTCATTTATGCTCACATAATCCTCTTGCTGCAGCCAGGTTTCTGTAAGGCAACTTAAGTCAATGTGATTATCACAAATCAAGTCATTAAATAGCATCGCAGGTAATAGTTAATGACTTGATTAATGACATCTGCATATATATGAATTTTCTTGGTTAGTACATCCACTCACTGTGAAATTACGTGTGAAACCTTTTTCCCACAGCCGGCAAACTGCTTGTTTTGCAGCCAAATGCTACACCAGTAGGCATTTTTATGGCCATGGGAGTGAGGAGTACCAATGTGGCAGCCCATGGCTTCACTTTTTTTGGGCTATCAGCAATCCATTGTATGAATAGAGGGGACGTACTGCTCTCAGTCTTAAACCTTATATGGAGATGGGACCATTGCACTCCGGAAGTGAAGGGGGCACTAGTGGCACTATTTTCTATACCAGCTGTGTTATAATAATATTTATAATAATAATAGCACATTTTATTTGGCAAAGCCTCTCAACACACTCAATAACAAACTACAAAAGGTGTTAATAACAATCTAAAATAGCAACAATAAGGAATCATTCTTGACTGTTTCTATCCCTACACCCTATCTATCCCAAACAAAAGCCACAAAACATAAATTAGATTAATATTTTAGAGACAAATGTTAGTTACATTAAGAACACATTTATTCATCCATTAATTGTCATACATGCACTCTTATCCCTATAGTAGGGTCATGAGGGCTGCTGCGGTGGACCCTGGAATGATTGCCAGTCCATTGCAGATAAAGAACACTGATATACCAAATGCTTGCTGGTGCTGAATTTGAAATAATAGATTTAGATGTTGTAAATGGTACTCTTAAAATAAATAAATTAAAATCTGAAATATAATAGCCTTTGCCTTATTTAATAAGGACAAGATGGAAAAGAGGTTCGGTTGGAAAAATATTTAGTCAACAATTTTGGCCAACTTAGTATGTCCATTCATTTTGCACTTTTGTTGATTCATAAACTCCAAATACTTTTACTATCCAATTATGGCAA